GCTTCAAAGGAGCTCAAAATGCAACTCATTTGAAACTGCCAAGTTTCATCTGGTGTGTCACATCTGCATATTTTGCATGATTTTCAAACGTACTCATAAATCAGCCCAGGTTTGCTTAAAAGGTTCATAAATGTTAGCAAACCTTCTGATGAACCTTGTCTGACATTTGAGTTTGTAACAAAATACAACATTGGGGAGCTTTGCATGGTTTAACATTTCATACATATCTAGTGCTAATGCATTCTTCTAGCACAGACTAGAAACATATTTGACCTGCCAGTCTATGATGAGGTTCATCTAGTCTAGTTCAAGGTCTGGAGTGCTCTGCTCTTCTCCCCAAAGGACTGGACAAAAAATAACCTGTGGTGAAAGTTCCCCTGAAGCCCAGAAACTTGTCACTGACTGTTCACCAGGGAATGTTTATTCATTTTGTTTTCAAAACTTCCCCCAGCAGTATGAACCAAAGCTTGCTGTTCTTTTTTCTTTATTTCTTTCTTTAGTGTTAGGAAAAGAAAGGTATTTTCTGGCAGCAGAAATACTACTGGAGCTGAATTACAGTATTATTCCCTTGTATCTAAGTAGTTAATATTAGTACACTTCTGGTTTTTAACAATATCCTTGCAGCTCCAAACAGAGGGGTGTAATTTAAATTATATTTGTCCAGAGAAAATGGAGTAAATCAAATAAATTAAGGGGACATGCTTCAGCTAACCAAATGTTTTCAGACTTAGGAAAGGAATATGAACATGTCACATTTGAAAATTTAGAATGAATCCTTTTTTTTCTGAACTATTCAAATGCAAAAGAATCCAAATTGTTTTAAAGACTGAAAAATATATTGTTTTCATGCTCACATAATTTAGACATGGTTCTGCTGATTTTCTGCAGTTTTTCCCAAATGTTTCACCTTTGTGCTGAGCAGAAGTAGAATATGCTCCTGTTCAAAAGGAAAATCTTTGAAAAAGTTATATGTGTTTGAACATAAGATTTAAAATGGGCTTGCAATAGTGAGATATGAGTATGTGATGTTATACAATTTGAATTGTGTTGAGGTGAACAACTTGATGTGGATTGAAATATAAAATCAGTATGAAATGCGATTCTGAATGTCTTTATCAGAATTAATAGGCCTCACAATGGCCATGGGGAGATGAAATTAGAGGTCTGGAAACAACTATTGTTAACTGATGAATCATTCAAGTAGGAGAGATTTGGTTGTAGTGTGATCCAAGGAACAGTATTGCTGACTGCTGAGGATTCAATTTGGAGCTGTAATTGGTATATGTGTTCTGATTGGTTAATATCTTTCCAAATCTCAATATTGTTATACTGTGCTGCAGTGTACAGTGGGATCTTCTGACTTATCACATGACTTCAGCCAGTCATGGAGTATGGATATTTTTCTTGTATGTTGCACTAAAAAATGTTCATTTAAGAGAAAGGGTGAGTATTCTTAAGGCCAGGCAAGCACATTACATTTCTCAGCATCGCCCACTGAAAGTCAGAGCTTTTAGGAATATTAATGTATAATGATAAGTAGCATCAAGGTAGAGTACTTGTGAAGATGGTAAAAATAGTTTCCAGTCAGATAAGAGCTTTTATCTCAAACCTCTCTCTGGCTTAAACAAAGGATTATCTTATTCACTTCCCCTCCTAGTATATGTGCTACAGTAGCCGTATCTCTGTCTTTCTCTCAGCTATGAAATAGCTTTAAAGATTTAATCAAATAAAGTGTTAAGCAAAAGATAAAATGGGTAGTAAGAGGACACAACCTGTTTGTGGTAAGCTACAACTGTCCATTTCCTTTCCGTAGGGCTTCGTAACACTACGATTTGCCTTTCTATGATGACCTGTGTTAAGGGTGTTGTGTAAAAAGAGGCTGTACTGCAGTGGTTGCTTTGAGAGGAATTCTGGTTAACGCAGCCTGAATTTGTCCTGGGGCTCCGACATCATGCATGCAGTTGTGGCAACTCCTCCACTCCTTTCAGTTCAGGCGGCTGGTGCAGAGGGGTAGCGCCATAGCCCAGCCCTCTTGGAAAAGCTAGCACCAGCACTGGGATGATGAAGTGGCTTGACCTTCTCCAGAGGCACAATTATTGCTATTACCATAGTACCTAGGAGCCCTAGTCCTAGACCAGGACCCATCATCCTAGGTGTTGTACAAACACAGAACAAAGACTGTCCCTGCCCCGGAGCTTACAGTCTAACTTGGCGTGAGTGGGCTCCTTTTGACCTCATACTACTCATCGAACCTGAAATTTGTCCCCTCATTTCAAGGGTGCTGGAACAATTTGTATAGTAGGGGTGCTGAAAGCCATTGAACCAAACTGTAAACCTCTGTGTATGACAGAAACCACTTCAATTCAGGGAGTGCGGCAGGACCCCCAGCATCACTAATTCCAGCAGCCATGCCTCATTTTGTTCTGTAAAGGAACAAAACTGTTAGATTATACTGTTGATTTTATGTATTGTGCATTTAAGACCAGATCTTTGGCTGGTGTAAAGGATTCACTTCAATGGATTTACACATGCTGATTTACACGTGCTGATTAAGTTCCAGTTATCAGAGTGTTATCCCACATTCTCATAGTGGGAGGTGCTGATGGAATAAATAAATGCTTTTATGATTCGAATTGGAATGGCTGATCTTTATGGTGTGTTATGTGGTATTGTAGAGTATGTAAGTGTATGTAGCAACTACAACGTTGTTGCAGGCTTGATCTTCAGCTAAAATTGGTTGCCCCATCTCTCTTACCCTGATTCTATGTCCTTTCTGGTTCCGCCTTCCATGCCCCTGCATATTTCTTCCTAAATTCCTGTCCCTTGATATTTCTCTCCAGTCTTCTCCCAGTCTAACTATGGTACTAATTATTGATTGAACACTGACCACATAGTGGGGGATGAGGCTCTGAAACCTCACAGCCATATTCACTACACCTAGAACTGAGCAGCAGGTTGTGATGTTTTGCTCAGGCCACGCAGAACTGTGAGCCACTGTGTTACTGCTCTGCCTCACCAAGAAAGAGCTTTGCTGCTGCTAAGCTGTGTGTCAGCTCTCTGGCACACCAGTTCATCTGCCTTGCCAGCAAACTCTTCAGGCCTCTGCCAGTCTAATCCTTGCCCATGCTGGTAACAATCAGTGAACCCCAATCCCCCAAGTTCCCTCTCACTGGACACTCACAGAAGTTATTAATTTCACTGCCTCCAAAAAGACAGAGCACATGGCAACCTGTTAGGTTAGCTGAAGACTTACACTTCTCTTCCATATAACAGCACTGAGAAATGTTCTTGTAATAAAACAATAAGTTTTATTAACAAACAGAGGTTTAAATGATTTCAAATAAGAGTGAAAGAGAGATGAAAGGTTACAAAGACAGCAAAATGTGCTGTCTAGTGACTAAAACTTATGTTAGCAAGTTACAATCTTTGTCTAAGCAAGTTTCTCATCTACAGTCAGTTCTCAGAGACTTCCACCACCTGGGTTGAAAGACCCACTTTTCTCAGTTTTCAAGACCTCTTTTCTCCCTCAGGTGAGGATGCCAAAAAGACTTTCTGTTTCTGCCTGTGTTTCTCAAAGTCCATTGTCTCTGTTTCAAGAGCCAGAGGGTACAGCTTCCATCCCCCATCGTGGTTGTTAAGTGGTCATTTCCCCCATTTTCTAGTTTGATGGCTTTGTTTACCTTATATGTAAATGTACTTTCATTGTTTCTGGCCTTGCCTTGCTCAATTTACATTGGAGACACAGTCAAGCAGGTGAAACAACATTCCTTTGTCTAGGACAGCTGGGATTATGCACTGCTTGTCAACCATATTTTAAGAACATATTTTCCAGCACACATCTACTATTCTTTATACACCACCATACACACCTCCCACAATAATACTATCCATTTGCATATAACGCATTACATGCTGCCTTTTAGATACAGATCATGACTATAGTATGTTGAGGCAATGAGTGTGTCAGATCTGATGTGAGTTAAAGTATAGTGTGCCCTCTGCCAGTTGGCATTGAGGGGCTTCCAAGGTCACACAGGTAGAGGAAGATTCTGAATGACATCCCCTGTCATGCTTGAATACAGTTTCACAGAGAATGGGAAGATCTGCCTGATGGCTCTCAAATGGGAGGATTTCATTATCCATCATCTTTAATATGTTATTCATTGTTTTTGGATTGGCCCTTAATGAGTTTCAAGAGTTTAAATCAGATTGGTTTATAAAATCCATGGGATAACAAGGTTATGTAAGGAACTCTGTATTCTTTTATTATTTTACAATGGCTTCACTGTATTACTCTTATCCCAAGAAATCCTGCAGAGCCATCACTGTCATTTGATGCTCATATCTGCTACATTGGTGACACATAAAGAGGTTCCTGGGGCATAGTGGTGTTGGCTGATGCTTTTGATCTATCATGATGCTTTCTCCTTTTGTTGTGTTATATTCAGCTGGGGCTCATCATATGCATAATACAACCAAGAATGATTAGTTTGTTTTGTCTTCCAATTGTAGTATGGTGTAAATAAATCTCCAGCTAAGGGGCAGGGAGAAAAACAGCTTAATGAGTGATGATGTTAAATGTATCCAGTATTAAAAACTAGGGCCAGACTCTACTTGTGCACAATTTACACCAGTTGAGGGTTTGGCCTTCTTGTTATGCAAAAGAAATGAGCCAGGTTTCAGAGAAAGTGGCATTATAAAGAAATTTTGTTTATTATCTGCTCAGTGTGAAGACCTCCCTCTCGGTGCAAGATTGTTTCCCCTGAGTAAAAATTAAATGTTCTGCAACAAGGCAGCCAGTTAAATACTTAGGAAGGTGGCAAGAAGTATTTAGCTCTGCAGACACAAGAACCATGACTCCGTGTTGACTGAAGTTGGTCAGAAACCTTCATCACCTTTTATATTTCATCTATAAACAGTGCCTGAGACAATCTAAATAACAAGAACAGGTAATGAAGCAGCTTTCTTCACTTGTTTTCTCTGTCTTGTTTTTTCTATAGTTACATCGCAAACCAGCGGAAATTAGAAAGCATCAATAACAATGAAGTTGGACTTTATGTTGGACTGAAAAATCTGTGAGTATCTGACTTATTATTTTTGTTTAACATTAATAGTTGTAGTTTCTCTTACAATTGGGATTTATAGGCCCCAGTCAATGAGCAGGGCGCAGTACAAATATTAATTAAAAAAAGACAGTCATTGCCCCAAAGAGGTTACAATTTAATTAATTACAAATGATCTAGATTAATTGTAATCCCAAATCTTATTCTAACCATTATTATTATTTACTAATCAATTTTATTTTAACTGACCAACACTAACAATTTTAACATTATATGTTTTCACAGAACCGTGGTGGATTCAGGCTTAAAGTTTGTGTCCCGTCAGGCATTTCTGAAAAACACCAACCTGCAGTACATGTGAGTCAGAACAGCTCATGTCTTGTAAGACAGAACTGCCCAGAGCTGGTTACTTCCCTTCCCTTTCTTCTCTATATTCTCCTGGTATAAAGTGTTTTAAAAAGGGAGGTGTATAAAGATCTTTTGCTAATAACTTTGGCATGAAAGTGGAACTGTATTATAAGCAACGGGTGCAGGGGCAACCTGTTAATTTTGTTGTGCTGGATCATTTCCGCTTTGGACTTGGCAAAGGATGAGTAGTCTGGAGTCCTCTGTGAAAACAACTCAGAAAAATGACCAGCTCAGTTTCTTCTGTTTTTGTTGGTTTGCTTACATGTCCCTGAAGAAGATAGGTGCCTCTCAGTTTGGGCTTGTCTACCCAGTGTGTTAGTCTGCACTAAAGGGGTGTAAATTCTAGTCCACACCAGCATGTCACGCACTAACTGGCCCATGGGGATCCTGCTGTGGTTCACTAAAAGTTCCCTGGTGAACATTAATGTAATACTGTTTGGGACCATGTTAACACACACTAAGGGTTTTTTAGCACATGTCAGCAGGGTCCACATGGACCAGTTAGTGTGCGATATGCTGGTGAGTAGAATTTACACCCCCCCACTGCAGATCTATGCACAGTGTAGACAAGCCCTTTGAGAAGCATAGAGCTGAACTCACTCCTACTTCTCACATTTAGGATTGTGGTCCCAATTCCGCAAGGTGCTGAAATGAGCAGCGGGGATTTAGTACATTGCATGAACTCTAGTTCAGCAAAGCATTCAAGTAAGTGCTTAAGTCTATCACTATTCAGCAAAGCTCTTAAGCACCTTCTTAACTTTAGGCATGTGTATGAATGAATCAATGAGACTTAAACACAGGTATTAAGTTAAGCAGTTGCTTGATTGAGTGCTTTGTGTAATAGAGATGGATTGCTGAACTGGGGCCAGGACTAGGTGCTGTTATACTACAATAAATTCCCTTTCTGCAATTTTGCTTTCCAAGAAAAATATGTCATAGGAGGATAAAATTAATAGTCATTTAATCAAAAACCTATGATATCTCAATTTACTGGTAGCAGTAGTAGGCTGTTGCCCCTTATGTGTCCAAACTATGAGAGGGAGAATTAACACACGTTTTACAGGCATGTTAAATTATTTCATCTAGTCATTAATAAAGCAAATGTCTTTGACCAGAGCCATACCAATGCATAACCATAGAAATACCATATAAAGTAAGAGCTACTAGCTGGGCATATACTTGCTTTTCCTGTGACAACTGGTCATTAAATTATGATTTCCTTCTGAGCAGTGATACAAGAGGGATTAGTAATCTTGCCAAACATGTAAAAAGCCTGGGTAAGACTAGAAACGATTACTTAGTGCCACTTGGTATATTTACAATAGATGAGCCAAAGTGACAGAGCAATTTGCATGAAGGTAGTTCTGCCTAGGCCTTTGGATTTATTATTTCTGTAGAAAAACTCATTTGTTTATTCTTTACACGATTTCTTAATGAGTTTAAAAAATCTTCCCAAAGAGCCTGTTGCTTCAATGTCTGGGACCATTGAAATCAGTGGCAGTGCTCCTAGGATACTGGGAACAGGATGGACCCTGAGATGTGGTCTGGGCAATGAAAATTGTGAAAAACTGAAATCAGTCACATTTAATTAATAGTAACCTTCTCAGCAAAAGACTAAGAAAAATCTTACATTTCATTTTAAAGCAAAAGTTTATGTCTAGCCATTTGGAGTTTATGGGATTTTTTTTTACATATAAATATTCTTATGAAGATTAATGTTAATTGTATGAACTTAATTTTGCTAATAGAAATATTATGGCTGTAATCCTCTCACAGGAGAAATCTTTTAATGCAGTCACAAGGCTTCATTAAAAAATAAACACTGTATTCTTACAACATAAATAATAATAGCATATAATAATATCAGATGCTAATGAATCTACTAACACAGCTATTCAAATGCTTTTTGGCATCAACTTAATTTCTGGGCCAAACCTCTGTAGCCAAAATGCCTTTCCACAACTGATGTATGATGATTAAGGTTCAGTAATAATGTAAACAAAAGAAAGTGAAATGCTGCAATAGATATCACTTAAATGTAATTAATAGCCTTGCTAGTTTAATTCTGGTATTCTCATTGACCTTAGACTCAAATTACTCAACAATCACCTTTAAAAGCTATTAAACAGTGCTGTTGTAGCAATGCTGTAATTTATAAACTCAGCAGCAGTAACAATTTTTTTAATAGACCTGTTTAATGCACTTCCTTTATATTAATACCTTTAACTGTAGGAATAAAGGTCACAAGTAGTGAATATTTCCTAAAACATTAAAAAGCCATTGTCATGTACCAAGAATTTACATAATTGTATACAGTTTATATATTCAAATCTACTTTGGTATTTTTAGTGTGCTATCACCATGGTATCCGAGTGCTGTGGACTTGACTAGATTAAGAAAAGAGACCTACATTAGCTATATATCTAATCCTGACCTAACTACAGCCTTTTTCCTTTTCCCTGTTGTGTAAATACAGGCTAACACCTTTTATCTCGATATAACTGGTTGAGATTGGCCTCAGGCTCCTCGCTAAAGTCGACCTTGAACAGCTAAATCAAGGTTAACAGTATCTTGTATCTACAGTAGGAAACACTTGTGGTTAGGTTGGGATTAGCTAACACATGTTTAGTAACAGGGACTGGGGAGTTGATCTGATTTTTTTTTAATCACAGTGTAAATGTTTAGTACAAGGGTTTTTTTTGTGTTTTTGTGATCAGATGAGAAACGGATCGGAAGTAGAGTGCATGAAACAGGTTTAACACTCCTTTTGCCTCCCCTCCTTCATCTTCTCTTCACTTCTCAAGCTGTTGAGCACAGCTTGGCTGTAGCTCAGGATCTAGGCCCTTAACTCTAAGTTAACAAAGTCTTATGTGTGTATATACTTATTATTGTGGATGCTAGCTGTAATCATTCTTTACTATGATATTGAACTGAGGAGCTAACTTTTAATTACCCTCCCAGAAAAAAATAACTGCATCTTTACCAACCATCTAGTAACCCTGGTCTATGTCTATTCACTTACTGTGGATTGAAGGGCCCAAAGTAGAGATTTTAGTAATCAATATAAAGTGCTCAGTTTATGAAAAATATATATAACAATAAATGTATTGACATAATATAGTTCAAGATGATATATATAACATAGGACTCAAGAATTTCAATTGAATTACATGTCAGTTTGAAAACTCTGAAGGCCCTTAACTGCATAGAAGAAAAGACTAGTCATAAAGCCCTAAATGTGTCAGCCCATAACCAGGAATGAAGTTGAGCTTTTTTGTTATTGTTTTCTATAAATACAGTGAGCCTCATTCTGATCTTATGTGCACTGGCATAAGTCAGAAGTAACTCCATTGGAGCTACTTGGCTGATGTAAGTGAAAGGAGGGTCAGGCCCATGGAGTTTCTTATCATTTTTCAAAATTGTGTTTCATAAAGGTGGGGTAATCACAGGTGCTCCTGTGAGTCATTTACATAGTCATTTACACCTGTGCAAAGTGACAGTTCGGTAAGGTAGCATGTTACACCCCCTTTTCACAGGTGTAAATGGCTATGTAAGGTGCAAGGCAATGGAGGATCAGGCCCACTGATTTGAATGAGTAAGTACTATTCATATAGGCATGGATTGCAGTACTGGGCCCTAAAGCACTGGGTCACCTAACCTCCAGCCTCTAACACAGAGTTTGTCTAGCTCATGGAAAGAAGTTAAGGTTAGGTCAGGGTTAGCGAACATGTGGTACCTAATTCTTACTTACCCACAACATCTTCCCTGTTGTAGATGCAAGTTACACCTTTAACCTTGATTTATCTGGGCAAGGTCAAATCTAGGGAGGGCTAAGGCAGACCTTGATCAGTTCAACCAAGATTAAAGGTGTAACTACATAAATCCCTGGTTTAAGTGCAAATTTCAATGCAACATTAACTATGGAGTCCCTCTCGTGCCTTCGTAATACCGTATAAAATGCATGTGGTATTTTGGCTCATAATACTAATTTGCACTGGGCTGTTGGCAGTGTTACAGTTTACTGCTGCTCTCTATACCGTTAACTAGTGCATTGATAGAACCACAAGAAAAAGTAGCCGTTTTCTGATTTGTGGAGGAAAGGCGGGGAACATTTTTTTTTACAGGTTTGGGAGTGAGGCGTTTCTGATTAAGGTAAACATTTCTCTGTCCTAAAAAACTTGGAGAGAACCTTTCAGTAAATTATATTTGGAAGCAGTAAATGCTTAATTGACATAACCCCCCCTAATGTTAGCATTTTACAATTTTCCTTTTGATCTCTCTCTTATTGCACACACGGTTTTGAAAAGAATAACTAAAAGGCTTATGTTGAGGATGTGTGCTAGCATGTGGCTGGGGTTAGATGAGCGCAGAGTGCAGTGCAGACTCAAAGAAGGTATGGGAAACACCCATTTGCTTATGGATAAATTGGCATGTAACCAACATCTGGACTTTACACAGGTCCTTTTGAAATGAAATCCACTGTTTTTACTGCATGGCTAGAAGTGTTGAAAGATGAAAATTTTGTCCAGTGTTGAATTTGTTTATGAAGCAAGCCATCAAAACAAGGTACTTGTTGGATTAGGAATCTTCAAAGCCATATTGGGCTATCAGAAGAATTTAGATCCCTATCCATCTCCTATTGAACTCAAAGGAAGGAAACCCACAGATTTTCTTGGGGGTTAGATTGGGCTCAATTTTCAAAACAACACTGTTTCTATAGTTTGGTTATGAAAACCAGAAATACTAATAAAATCTAATGTTCTGTTTTCTCACAGTAATTTCTCCAGAAACAAGCTCTCAAGTTTGTATAAGAAGACTTTCCGCCATCTGAATTTATCTGATCTGTAAGTAGTGAGGTTTTTTTTTAAATGAAGATTATTTGTGTGTTTGAAATAGAATAGCAGTCTGAGAGCTTTTAGGGCTTGATCCATTGAAGTCAATGGATGCCATTGACTTTAGTGGGGCCAGAGTTTCATCCCATATCTTTAGAAAAAGATAAGTTGCCTGTGGATGATGACATTGTTTAAAAAAGGTATTAATTTAATGCAATACTGGAGCAAAACACCATGACATTTGCTTTCTCTCCAGTGCAACATAAATTAATTTGGATAAAACTTGCCTTTCCTTGTCAGCTTTAAAATGTTCTATTTTGAAATTTTCACATGAAACTATTGGTTTTTGGATTAAAGAAGGTGGAAGCCTGAAGTACCTTCTCTCTGCGTTAACCTACACACAGAAGAGGTTAAGTATTTGGGCCCTGGCATTTAGGGTTTGCTCCACTCAGTGTTGCAACACCTAACTACTTAAGGAGCCTATAGGCCAGGGAAATTGTCAGTCACAAGGTAGGCATCCAGACTCTCCATACAATTCATGGGGAGTGCTAGGTGCCTAAAGAAGGGACTTTCAGAAGCCAGTAAGCTGAACAGGTTGTTTTGAAATGGGAAGGTTTCTGGTTTCTCAGAGCTCAGTATAAGATCAGGGCCCTGGAGATATAAAGTAGACAAGTCAGAAATATTAGCCAAGAAGAATGTGTTGTAATCTCAGACACCTTTTGGAGTATAGGAGAAATGAAGTGCACAAATCCCTGGCACCAAGATGAGATTATGCCCCTTAGGTATGCTCTATTGATGATTAAGGTGGTGTAATCACTTTACAGTCCACAGAACTTCATTCACTGGAATTTTCTTCCATAATTTGGTAATCACTGAGCATTCAAATGGAAAGAATAGCTAGTTGCAAAATGCTTCCATTTGATCTGTTCTGTTAGGTATCTGTAATTTTTCCTAAAATCGCAAACTCTCCTTACATTCCTCTCTCTGCACGTGTCCACCCAAAAAAGGCACTTTTACCTGGCATCTGGCAATAACTTTCATCTCTCTATTTGGTAGCTGATATCATCTCAGCAATAAAGATGATACTATTTAGATTGGTGCACAGTATCTTAATGCACAAAGCAAGTTGTTGAAACAAAAACATATTGTCTGGGGTTCTGTTAGTGTTACTGAACAACTAGGAAAAGACATGGAGCCATTTTTGCCCCCTGGATTTCACAAGTGTAACTGATAGCCTGAATTGGCTCAGGGTGACTGTGAAAAAGTACTGATTTCAATTCTAAGCCCAAATTCTGCAGGCATTTATGTCAGTGTATATCTGGAATTACTCCACTGTATTAAATTGAATAACTTCAGTTTACACATGAGCTATACTGACCACCTCTGGACCACTCTGTTATCAGGTGACCAATTTCTTATAGATGTCATGGTTGAACTGGGTTTTGAAAGGGATTTGAAGGTGCAAAAGGTAGTAATTTACAAGTTAGTTCAGTGAGATCACAGTGAATCATGTTGATCTTTTTGAAGATGTTAGTGTGATCCCTGTGCAAAGGAAGAAGAGGGCTCAAAATGTGGACTGTAGGAGGGAATTGAAGATTCTAAATAAGCAAGAGGGGTTGTGGGAATTCAGTTCAATGAAGGGTTGTGGGAATTCAATTCCATGCGGGTAGGAAAGTAGTGCTTATTGGCAAAGTGTCTGGCAGCAGTGGAGTAGGAGAGAATACATTTGTAATGTAATCATGGGATTTATGCCATAGGCATTCAGCAGTTTGGGAGCAGGGACAGAGGAAATGGATGTTGAGAGTGAGCCACGGTTAGGAAAACTGGAAGAATACTACTTCCCTACCTCATAGCGCATTGCAAGGATAAATGATTAATGTTTGAGGTGGTTAGATACTACAGTGCTCAGGGTCCATATAAGAAGACAGAGAGACAGGATGTAGAGGTAAGACAGGTATTTGTAGAGGTGAGAAGGCATGTGGGAACAGGGTTGGTGGGGAGAGAGGAGGATATAGAGTTGGTAGTGGTAAAGTGGGGAGGACAGAATGGATGAAGGTTTGAGAGGAAAAGCAGGAAAGTGGAAGAGTCAGTGAGCTTGGGAAGAGGTCGGGTGTGCTTGGTGGAAAAGCAGTTGGAAGACATGGTATCAATAGGACAGTAAAACTGTTGTACAGTTGATCAGACAATAGGGTGGCAAATAGATTAAAAAGTCCAGGAGATAATTGACATCGGTGAGGATCCCAAGAATGGAGGGAAAACTGAATATTGGAGGCGGGATCTGAAGGATAGAATGTTGCCCATAAATAGCTTGTGAGAAGCCTGCTTTAAATCTGACTTGTGGGTGTACTTTTGATAGAAGACACTTAAATCAAAGTGTAAGTGAATGAAATTTCAGGCCAGGGTGAGGTGGAAGATGTTCTCCAGACTCTGGGGAGAAGGGAAATGAGAAGCCGCTTTGAAAGGATTCTGCTTTAAAAACAAAATTGTAGCTGCAACTGCAGAATTACAGCAAATGAGATGAAAATGTTAATTGCTACTCACTGAGCCAGTAAGTGCATGGAAGGGACAATCATGCTTCTATTCCTCCCCTTTCTGCAGAATGTCACCATGGTGTGACTCCCATGGGAAGTTAAAACAATGGAAGAAAACGGTTGCTTGGTTATTATTAACCAAAGAGAGATTTTTAAAAAGTAATTCTTATTCACACAAGTAGTGCCATTGAAATCAACTGGATGACTTGTGCTAATATAAATTATCCATAAAAGGTGTTGCAGCTCAGGTAGACAGACCCACACTAGCTCTGCTTGAGCTAGTGTGCTAAAATAGCTGTGTTGATGGTTTTAGCATGGGTGGCAGCTTGGGCTAACCACCTGAGTACAAACCCACCCAGAACCCTAGGTGTGCACCCTGAGCTGACACCCCTGTTACCTCTGGCTACATTGCTATTTTTAGAATGCTAGCTCAAATAGCTAATGCATATCTATCTACCTGAGCTGGGAAGCACACTCCCAGCTACAGTGTAGTTGTACCTTTATGTGTGAAACTTGGGGAAACATGTTACTTGGGTTTGTCTTGATTTCTACAAATTTGACATTTTAAATTGCTGCCTATTAATGAGAATGCAGCTTTTAATGCTAAAGGCAACAGATTTTGTGGGCAACTAGAATATAGCTTATGTGCATCATGGTCATTTGTGGAGTTTCATTACTCTTTTTATAATGAAATGTCTTTAGGGGTCACAAAGAAACGCTAACAAACGTATCAGTTGGAACTCACCTGTGCTTTTAGGAGAAAAGGTGAAAACCTGGACCATTTCTGAGTCAGGCATCTAGATTGTCTCCATTATACTTCACTCAGGCTTCATCACATTACACTGGGCTAAGGTTTTCATGAGTATTGAAATTAGAATCAGGTAGGTGGGCTAAACTCTGATTGAAGTTCCATATAGTGTGCTGTATAGCTGCGTAGTGTTTATACACTGGGTTACAGCCCTTTTTTTAGTTAGGTTCTGGTTGATATTAGTTAAAGCCTTTCACTGTGTCATCTTCCAGAGTCATACGGATGATTTCTTCTTAAAGGTGTGTGAAATTCTTGTTTACAACTAGAGTTGTTAAACTTTAATCATAATATGGGACTGAATGGGTCCATAAAGAGTCCACCACATACAGCGATGAAGTCTTTTCAGGAGTGTACTTTATAAATCAGTAGACCAAAATCCAGTATGGAACAGATTCTGATCTCCATTTAACTGGTAAAAATCCAAAATGATTTCATTGAAGAGAATGGAGTAACTTCACGGGTGAAATTGAGATCAGAATCTGTCCCTGTGTGTGGTATCTCAGATCTGTGATAAGCACCATGGACCAGATCTTCAACTGGAGTAAATGGATTGTAGATTAATACTTCAGTGGAGATGTACCCATTTATATTATTGAGGATCTGGCTCCATAATTTTATTAAGCAAAGTATTTTGCTTCTAGGCTGCACTTGGAGTGACATTTAAAAACAAACCAAAAACCTACACAGCAATGTTTCTAGACATATGATGTCAACTGATTTTTTTTTAAATGATTTAATTTTTGCTATAGGATTCTAGTGGACAATCCGTTCAAGTGTTCCTGTGATGTTATGTGGATCAAGATATTTCAGGAGACCAAGTTTTCTAACACAGAAACTCAGGATTTTTACTGCATAAATGACAACAACAAGAGGATACCCCTTTCGGACATGCAGATCCCCAACTGCGGTAATATACTTTAAAGTAAAACAATTATGAAGTTAAGTTACTGCCAGGCAGGAAAAGCAAACATGCTTTCAGCTCTTGGTTTCAAGATGGTATATTTGCCACTGCATGAAATCTCAGGAGAAGGTCCCTCTGACTCTTTACACCTTGTGGATTAATATTGTGAGCTTTAGCTAGAATGTTTGTTTTTTTTTTAAAAATCTTTTAAAAATAAACTGTTGCTCAGAAATGCATCAGAATAAAATATCTAAATATAGAAATGGTATATATATTCATTAAATTGAAAAGAATGCTTTCAAGATGAACAGACCCAAAATGTTACCTACCTTAAAAATGTTATTTGTAGTTTTGACAGAATCCCTAGATTAATAGAATCTTTATTTTCCTTTAAAAATGAATGTTATTAGCATCACATTTTCAAAACTTAGGCTATAAATTGTGCTTGTTTAAAAAGAAAACACACAAGCAAATAATCCTGTATTTTTCCATGCAGATCTCAGTAACTGTGTGCAAAAAGAGTGAGGGAACCCCTGCAGAGTCCACTTTGTATGGGTTACCTGAAGCAGACTTTGCAGGTTTCAGTTCACAGCATTTGGCAAAATACCAATCTCCCCTGGTTTGAGGAGAAATGGTATGATAATTCTCATCACCTTGCTTCAGTTGCTTACTTCCACAGGGTCCTGGAACAATTGTCAGGTAGTTTCACTTCTTACTAGTTGGTAGGGTGACCAGATGTCCCGATTTTATAGGGACAGTCCCGATATTTGGGGCTTTTTCTTACATGGGTGCCTATTACCCCCCTCTCTCTGTCCCGATTTTTCACACTTGCTATCTGGTCACCCTACTAGTTGGAAAAAGTATTCCTTAGCCTCAGATCTAGTGGCAGGGGGAGCAGTTGGGCTTGATTCCTCTCCTGAGCACAATTGTTTCTGACTCAAATTGCAGCTCACTAGCAGATAGTAAGTTTCATTTTGTTTTCCTTGGTGGGCAGAGAGAGAGCAGAATGAAGCAAGCATGGAGGAAAAGAAGGAAGGAGGGCAAGGCAACACACAGTGGATAGATTTGGATGGGAAAAGAGGCAAAGAGGAGTGAATTGGAGGGGGAATGGGAAGAAGGTAGAAATAAGCTCTGCCTTTCTTCCTTCTGTAGTATCTGCCCTCTGCAGCTCTAACCTTTCTGTGAGTGCTTCACAACACCAGACTGCTCTTCTTCTCTGCACTCCCACTGGGCCTGAAACCCATAACCAGAGAGGAGAACCAGGGCCGGCTCTAGGTTTTTTGCCGCCCCAAGCAAAAACAATGTTGGCAGTCCCCCGTCCCAGCCCTGGGCTCCTCACCACACCCCCTTGCCGCCCCAACCCTGGGCTCTCCGCCCCCCGACCCGCCCCAGCCCTGGGCTCCCCCTACCCCCCCTTGCCGCCCCAACCCTGGGCTCTCCGCCCCCCGACCCGCCCCAGCCCTGGGCTCCCCCTACCCCCCCTT